GGATGTGATGAGTTCCCCATTCGCTGTGACAAATATTGATTTATGCTTTAAGCTTTCAACGTTCGCTGTGCTGCATCGCAGGGTTCTGGAGCATATCAAATATTTGCTTAAATAAAGCAAAGGCAAGCTTATTTTTCTGCCAGCAAATGAACTAAGCTTCGTCCGGAATTGAAAGGCGGGGCGTTTGTTTTTCCCTCGCATTGCATGACAAACATGGCAGGAATATTCTATGAAAATTTCGCTCTTTTCAACAGCCTTCGTCCACGCCAGGATAAATGATTTTCCCCATCTTGTGCTCCTGCTGCGGCTTCTTCTTCCTCATCTTTTCCTCGGCAGACGTAATTTAATGATGAATTCCCAGCTACACAGAGCGTAGCAAGTTGGGAGTTCAAGGATTTCTTTCTAGAACAAATAGACCATGAGGAAGATGGATATGCCTTTAATCACTCTAAGTATATAATCTTATAACTCCTTTCTTAGATTTACATGTCTTTAGTAAAACTAATTGTTTTAATCTTTCTAAGAACTACTCAAGAAATAAATTCCAGATCTTTGGATACTTTTTTCCCATGTACAGTTTATCCTTCACGTGGGCGTTTGTGGGCGTTCGGTTGCGTGTCTTCAGAAATTATAATCCACACTGGAGAAGAGAAAAAGTTGCGGCAGAGAGGCAAATGAGAAAGGGGGCACGGAGGGACTGCCATTCGTGAATGCTTATTTATATATTTCCTTATCTGCGATGAAAAGTGAACTATTATTCAGTGGGCCCTGACCAAGAAGCGCTCAACTGAGACGCCAGCGGCGTGTGCCAGGACCTCTTCGTAACCCCCACCCCCACGGACCTACCGCGCCCAACCCTTATCCCGGCACCTATTGCCGCAGAGCCCACCCCGCCGCAGCCCTTATCCTGCGTAGGCGCTGCGAAGCGTGGCCAGACAGACGGCTGGCAGGCGTTAGGACACGCGTCCTTTTTCCCAACTACCATACACTACCGATTCTCTTGTTGTGCTCCCATTCAGGCCAAGAAAGTTTTCCGGTGGTGGGCTTCCTGTCTTCCTGTCCCAAGGATATTAAAGCCAGCACAACAGCTGCAGATCCTCACGTCGCCCGGTCGAGGGAATCATCAGTACGGAAATACAAGACCTTTCCTTTATTGGCAATATTTCTTTAAGAAATCATTTCACTTACTCGTATATAACTTATTCTTTGATTCTCTTACACCCGTGATAAATGTTTTTAATAAATCATGAAGATAACTACTTTAAACTTCTTAAGTTTTATATTTGGTAAGATTTAAAGATAGAGTTTCTATCCTTAAACTTGAACTTAAAGTGTATTCAAAGTTCGTAGCTAGTACCCTTATGTTTTTGCAAATGTTTTTCTTTGGCTTATCTAATCCCGGTTGGGAACGCGTATTAAATACTTTAAGATGCTTGCTGAGCTCCAAATGCACCTTTTCCATTCAAAATCTTATCAAGTCTACTTTTGTCACACCAACACACAGAATATACACGAATTTTGATTCTATTGTGCGGGGATAAGTTTTCTGTTTATCTTTTGGGGCCCGCAGCTTTTACATCGAATTCGATTGTAATATTGTGTGTTCCTGCCGTTTTCGGGGATTTTAAAGAGCCTTACAGAAGTCCTTCCAACTTCTCAGCCAGCAGCTTTCCTTTGTTCCGCATATGCACGCAGAAAAGTGTTTAATGTCGTATATGATAAAATTCATTTTGATTTCGCAACGTATTTAAGATATTACTATAATATTTAAACTTAAATTGTTTTGGCAATAACCAATTATTTTAAGCCAACTTCTTAGAGGCCTCTTCACGCAATATTTATTTATACTAAACCCCATTTCATATAAAAAATTTAAATTCAGATGTGACCTTTTTTCACGGTGTTGGGGGTATTTTTCGCACATCCTTTGCCATCAATCAAAAGTGCGTGAAATCAAGAATTTATGCCTCATTGGCAGCCAGGGCACGCTCGAGCGCATTGAGCAGATAAAAGCATCAGCCGCAGCAGGTCGACACCGGGAAATCGCATAAAAATGCTCCACAAAGGGCGAGTAATGTATGCACAGTCGTCCTGGGGGGGCGTGGCTGGGGCCTAGGCAACCGCAAGGCAACAAAAACATACATTTTATTAACCGACAAACACGGGCGAGATGTCCCTGACCATTGCCAGGACCACGCACCACACACTTGGTCCACTCTTCGGGGAATCCTGCCCAATGACCACAAGTCAGATGCACGTGTAGGCCCACCAGTGGGATGTGGGTGGTGTTCTACTGGGTGACTGAGTGGCTGAGCAGCTCAGTGGGAGCGGGGCATAAAAATTGCATGGACTTGAAGTTGATTTGAATGTGGCCCCCGAGTCGGACCCTGGTGGTGAGCAAACTTAAATAAATATTACCCTACCACAGACAATTTGCAATGCATCCACCCATGTCCCTGGCACACCTTTTGTGGTTTTTGTAGCTGGTGTTACACGTGCCAAGAACAACTCAAACGGGGCTGTGAAAAAGGTTCTTTACATTTTATTTTAGAAATTATATTGTACCAGAAGGTAAATGAGAAAGAAACTTTAATTGTGATTCTACAAAATTTACAAAAAATTTAAATATTTCAAGCATTTCTTGAATAAAATAATATTTCTGTTGGCTCCTCTTCCCTCTTCTTTGGAAATTGGTTTGAAATTTTTTTAGGAACATAACTTAATAAACTAAACATTCTTTTTAAAGGGTTGCAGCCTTTACAGTTGCTGATTATTCTTGTATATATAAAAAGTCCTATCAGTTAATCAATTGTAATCTTTTCAAAAGCACTTCTATCATAAACCACCCAACAATTTAATCGACTTGATAACAAACAAGTTCCCAGGTTCGTTTTCAATGAGGGCTTGTGCCTGTAGATTTTCCTTTTCCAACTCCCCTAGACCAGGTGCGCAGTGAGTACCACGGAAAGTAACGGCCTTTTGGACAACTGCTCCTAATAGTTGCCACCACTATGAGCTGGGCAAACATTTCAACCCTCTAAGGAGGCGAAATCAACGCACGGCAGATGTGCGCAAGTTCAGTGATCGAGAAGCGAGGAGCGAGAGCGGCGAGTAGCAAGGACATGTTTCGTGGCGCAGGACATATGCGGGATATCCCGTTCTAGCACGCCCTGCTGTAGATCCACCCTGGAAAGTAACGAAAATGTTTGTTTGATTGCATTCCGAATTCGGTTGGGTTGAGTGGGTTACGAGCTGTTATTGTTGCACTTTCCGTACTTTCCACACCCGGCGGTACAGTTATTGTTGGTGTTGTGGCAGCTCTTGTTTACATAATTCCATATGCTGCGCATTTCCTTGATGAAAATTTAAAGCATAAATTGTTGCTTTCTGTTTCCTGGAAATATTTGCCGAATGCAAAAAGCAAATAAAATGGGAACAATATTCCTACAATATGTGCATTGTGTTTACCTGCTAGCCAAATGCAATGGCATAACAAAATAGTTTGTTCAATGGCATTTAAGAGATAAAAGTTTAGTTGGAATAAGAATGCCTTTTTAGTTTTGCACATTTTTGTTTCAAGACATTTGGCCGAAAAATTTTATTTTTTATAAAGTAAGCCACTGAAGGATGGCAATTCAATTTCAAGTTGAATTTCTGCTAACAGACTTGTGGTCACAGTTGTTAGAAAAATATTATTGCCCCATCAAGTTGTGTAACAAATAGTGCAGGCGGGCAAATATTTTTGCAATGATTGCGAAAAGAATTGGAATCATTCATGTTGAAGTCATATTTATTCAATCAAAAGGCTCAAAATAATTCCAACAAATATACATTTTATAGTCAGGGAGTCTTCGAGCGGTTTTCTATAAAATTTAGTAAATTATTCATTGTTAACATATTATATGATATATTTGTAAAATAATTATGCCATGAAAGAAATCCATTATAATAAAAATACTTTCAATATGCAACTTTCTTTCCACCCTTGTATTTACCCCTTGACAGTTCTTAATCATGAGAAACTGGGTTAAATTTGTTTAACATTTCTTCTGGTTACTTAAGGCTCTGCGAATTCCAGAAGAAACGAATCCTTCGAAAGCAGGAAGTGATAGAGACATAGCAGAAAGAGACAGCGAACCTGACCTCCTTCGGTTTATCCCCTAAGCGGAAATTGTTAAGCAACTCACTTGCCTTCAGCGAGTCCATTCACTTACCCACTCATTCATTCACTCACCGACTTACTCTTCGCTTGATTCATTCAGTTATTCGTTGGTCATGCAAATCCCTGGCACACAAATTTACACCTTGAGTGCAGTTTGCAAAGCCCCGGGATAATCCGCATTAGTTGCAGAATGCAGACGGCCACAGATACCGAATGAGACCGGTCCGGTCTGGTCCAGAAGGCCAAAAACCCACCCGATCCGACATGACAATGTGGCTATAGGGCTTAGTTTCCTCTCTCTACCGCTAACTTGTGCTATTACGCTATTTCTACGGATGCTGGAGAGGGGGAAAAGGCAAATTGAATCGTGTTTTGTCGAGCATTTCATTTTGGAATTTGTCAAATGTCGAAATTTTGCAGACTGGCTTCCATCGTAAAAGTCCTAAAAACCCCAAACAGAAACAGAAACCAATAAAATATGTATGTTTTGTCCATCACCCATCGCCCATTGGCCCCTGCATATTGCAATTTTAATTTTTCAATTCATTTTATGTAGAATATCTGTCCGAGTCGATGTTTTTACGCCCAGGCTACTGGAGTCGGAGCCGCAGGGGTGCCACAAATAACAAATTGCTTGTCATTGGCATTGCCAGGAGGACCCGGGACCCCCAACTACAAACAAGTACGGAGAAGTCGACCCCTTCCTCGAAAGGCCTTAGACAGGGCTTTTACAATTTGAATCTCGATTAGAATTCATTGAGTTGCCGGCATTGGTTAGCCATCAGCCTCTAGGCACGCACAGTGGGCAGAGAGGATAAAATATTCCTTTTAAAAATAATCAAACTGGAAAAACAATTTTTATTGAGCTTTAACTTGGAGTTGCTTCACAAGACCCAAGACCTTTCGCCTCTGGAGTTTATCATTGGCGGTTTTTGGGAGACTATCGATGAAAAATACACCACCTCGAATTTGGTAGGCTCCGCTTAAATGCCTTTCTACCGTATTCCGGATTTGATCTGCCGTGAGATGCTCACCTTCCGGACCTGAAGAGCGGACCACACCGCAAGCAGTAAGATTGGTAGAGACTTCGTCGGGAATTCCAAAGACACAAGCCTCACTCACACCGGGCAAACTGAGGATGAACTCCTCGATCTGCTCGGGATAGATCTGGAAGTTGTTGAACTTGAACACATCGGTGTCCCTTGTCTGTATGTAAAGGTTGCCCTCACTGTCCAGATACCCAATGTCTCCGGTGCGGAACCACATTCCATCTGAGCTGATTGCCTTCCTAGTGGCTTCTGGATTTCGATAGTAGCCCTCCCACTTATAGCGCAATCGGGCGTAGATGATGCCCACCTCATTGAGGCCCAGTGGCATTTTCAGTTTGTCCAGAACACGCAGCTCCATATTTCGCATGACCTTGCCCTCGCAGCCTGCTGGCCCTCCCACATTTTTGCTCAGACCTCCCATCTCGGACAGTCCGTAACCAACAATGAACCTCTGGCTTCCAATCAGCTCGTACATTCTGCTAGTTACCGCCTTACACACCTTGGACCCAGCCCCAATTAGAGCTCGTACCGATTGAAGTTTGTCCTTCAGTTCCATCAAATCAATGTCATATTTGGAAAGCAGAGTAATCTGATGGGAGGCCAGGAACAGGAAGGTCACCTTGTGCTTCGCCACCAGCTGGAGGAGGTACTCCACGCTATATGGCCGATTGGTGATGATCCGACGACAGCCATTGAGGAGTGAGGCTAGTAGAATTATCGTTCCCGATATCCAATAAAGGGGACTGAACGATAGCAGCACGCTATCTCTGGTGTAGGTGTTCGGGCTGTAATTGGATAATATTAATATGATATAGCATTATTCTAATTAGGGAAATCATTCAGTCTATATTGCCCAATAAATATATAATAAGGGAATCTTAACCTCTTTACCCTAATTGCTTATCACTTACTTCTTGCAATTACAAAGTAAGCTGCGATGGGATCGTGTCACGCCCTTTGGCATTCCCGTGGTTCCCGAAGAGCATACAATAAACGCCGTGTGATCGCCATGCAATTTCGGGCAGGGAACATATCTAAAATCAAGGCAAGATGACTAATTTAGATTCATTAAGAGGATCATAGAAACTTACGCGGCAGCTGTTATACACTCATCATCATTAAGGAGCAGGCTAAGATCTAGCACTCCTTCTATTTTTCCATTAACCAAATATATCTTGGCGGGCTTTAACAATCTCTCGTTAACTGATCTAATTACATGGTAGTTCTCAACATCGCAAAAGATTACTTTGGGCTCGGTAATATCATACATGTACTTGACAGTCTCTGACAAATAATAAATGTAGGTTAAGTAGCTCAAGAAGTTCAGGCTTTACCTTCACTAAACTCCGGATGCAGTGGGTTGATGGGCATGCCACGTAGCAAAGCCGCAACGACCACGCTGGTCAGGTAGGTGGAGTTATTTGCCGAGATCCCAATGACATCGCCTTTCCGCAAACCGAATTTCTTGAAGGCCTGGGCAATGCGGGCACTCTGCTGAGCCAACTGCCCACCGGTGAGCTCTTGCCCCGTGGGATCGCAGTGCTGCAACACCCGATCGGCGTTGATCTGTAGCACGCGCATGATCACCTCGCCCAGAGTCATCTCCGGGCCGTAGAACTCCTTGCCCCGTGGACCAGACCAAGTCCGCGTAGCGGCATCGTAGTGCACCTCACAGCTCATAGCGCTTTCAAACGAATAAGCGTTTTATTGCGCCTCATTTGGGTTTTATATGGCTCCCGAACCACGGAAAACAAAGTGGACCTGTTAATTAGTTGGACACGCCAAGACATCGATGCTTGTCGCCAGTGTCATCTAAAATAGATGCTGATTTACTCATTGGCGTATCAGTGCCGCTTCCGAATCCCGCTAATCAAAGCCAGCACTCCACCAGACATTCCAGATTTGGAAACTTTTAATTTTTTTTAGGACAGCAATTCAACTGATTCACAGTGTTTACTTTTATGGAGCACGACTTTATTTTGTAAAACAGATGATATTTATTTTTGTAACTAAGGTTACCTCACAGATGGGTAGTAGCCTCACTCAACTCCGCCCAGATTCTCCTGCGCTGAATCTTGTTGTTCTGCGTCTTTGGGAGTTTGTCCACAAAGAACACTCCACCGCGAATGTGAAAAGCTTCGCTCAGATGCTGGGCCACAATCGCCTTGACATCCGCTTCGGTAAGTTTCGCACCTAGTTCGTTTTCATCTCGGACCACAGCACAGGCTGTAAGATTTGTGGAGACGTCGTCGGGTATTCCGAAAACAGCTACTTCGTGGACTCCTGGTAGATGATGAATTACGTCCTCGATTTGCTTGGGATAAATGGGAAAGTGGTTGTACTTGAAGACATCGGTGTCCCGGGTCTGGAAGTGCAGGCATCCCTCGTCGTCGAAGTAACCATGATCCCCGGTGAGCAGCCACTGACCATCGGGAGTTACGGTCACCTGGGTCTCCTGCGGGTTGTGGTAGTAACCACCCCAACGATAATTCAGTTTAACTAAGATTTGACCCGTCTGGTTAGGTCCCAAGGGCTGGGCGTGATCATCAATCAGTCGGACCTGGAACATTTCGCAACAATTTTCCCTCGCTGCCCAACGGACCTCCTACGTTCTTGGAGATACCTCCATGCTCGGTGAGACCGTAGAGCACAGCAAACCTATCGGCACCCAGCAGCTCGTACAACTGCTTCCAGATTCCCAGAGGAACCTTCGAGCCACTGCACACGAAGGACTTGACGGACTGCATCTTCGCAGCCAGCTCCTGTTATTGAGGGCTCTTGGCCAGCAGAGCCATGTGGTGAGGCACTGTGAGCACGGAGGTCACCTGGTTTCGCTCCACAAGGTCAGCAAAGTATTCCACGGTAAACGGACGATTTGTAATGATTCTGCGGCAACCGTTGACCAGCGAAGCCAGCATGGTAAAGATGCAGCTCACCCAGTAGAGTGGGCTGTTGCAGAAGAGGACTGTATCCGAGGTAAAGAGCTGAGGGCTGTACAATATCCAATAGAGGTCATATTTCTCGGGAAGAATGCTAAATAGTACTCACCTTTTGGCACCATTTAGCAGACTGCGATGCGAACGGGTTACGCCCTTGGGCAAACCGGTTACTCCCGACGAGGTTATGATGAAGGCCGTGTCGTCGCCACTCAAATGCGGGCAGGCAAAGCTGCAAGATCAGGAATAGCTTACAGGAAAGTTTCTCAAAGGTTTGGGGTGAGATCTACATACAGGGTTCTATCGTCGTATCCAGTGCAACCATCTGCTAAAAGATCCTTTATATTGCGCACTCCTGGCAGAGTTCCAGTGAGCAGAATGATCTCAGTTTTGAACTTGAGGGTGCTTTTGACCGCGCTCAAGGTCTCGTAGTTGTCCATGTCGCAGAAAATGACCTTGGGCTTAGTAATTCCATACATGTAGGCGGTGGTTTCTGTAGGGGAAATGAAGTTCATGATTGAGTTATATAAAAATCTCAAGGCAATGTAAAGCACTAACCAGGATCGAATTCCGGATGCAGTGGGTTGATGGGTGTTCCGTTCAGCAGAGCTGCGATGACCACTTCAGTGAGATAGGTGGTGTTCTTGGCCGAAATGCCGACCACATCTCCGCGTTGCAACTTCAAGCGTTGGAAGGCATGGGCCAACCGGCGACTTTGCTCCAACAACTGACCTCCAGTGAGTTGCTCTCCCGTCGGATCGAACACCTGCATCACCTTGTCCGAATACAAGCGCAAGATGATCAGTGCCACTTCGCCCAGGGTCATATCCGGACCATAGTACTCCTTGTCCTTCGGTCCGGACCAAATCTTTTCGAAGCTATCGTACTTGGTTGCCGCCATTTGACTCTAGATTCCTGTTAGCCGGTGTATTAGACAAAACAAAACTTCCGCACACATCAACTGAGTTTTCGAGAGTGTGCTCTGGCCTATATATATAGTCGACGCTAGGAAGGCCTCCGAACTAGATGTGCGATCTGCTAATTGCCTCGACACGTTCCCCCATAACCTACACCCGTGTACAGCAGCTTCTAATAAACTTTGGCGACAGATGACGCTGCCAAATTATCAGGTGTGTTTTCCTACAACACATGCAGCTGAATGCTGATATTTCAAATCCACTTCACAACTTTTACTTTTTCGCTGACTTTTCCAAGTTCATGATGCCGCACACCACTGTGCCAGGTGGAATGGAATCCATGCCCACTGTCTGGCAATTGCATAATTTCTACGATTAAACACGGTTTGAGCTCCATTCACTCTACTCCCTGACTGCTTCTGTTCCTGTTGTCGTTCTCGTGTCCCTGCAGTTGCTCTGCGGTTGTCTCCACGTGCCACGATTCCTGGTTCTCGTTGCGTCGCTCCTCCCTGCCAGGTGGATATATACGCATCCCAGCTGTACGTATAACTGGCATGTGCAACCGCAGAGAGATAGAGTCGCATCCTTGATGGGCACACGCTTCATTTGCGTGCTTAGTTAGGAAATCAAGCGTATGGCTGCGGGACAAATGGGAGGGAAGGGTGGTATGAGAGGCTCGGGCGGAACTTAAAATGCAAGGTGCATCCACCTGGGGGGGTGGGTGTCTGGTGGCTTAAACTTCGATTCGTGGCCGGGGCGAAAAGTTGCTCAACATTGGCGGACGGAAGTTCCTGGGGAGGTGGGCGTGCCAGAGATAGTTCCTACGGGTGGAGTGAAAAACTCGGATTTGCCTCGCCCAAGCTGATTCATTGATTTCACTTAAATTCTCTTGATGCAAAAACTAAACTTAATTAATTACGCGGTCGGTGGAAATGTGCAACAAACTAGGTAGCTGGTTGAAGAGGTGGAAAAGTGGATGCGAAGACTGATCAGCGGCTAATAAAAGTTTCTCGGGAACTTTTTATTGCCTTTTTATGACCCGAACTCGTCTTGGGAACAACACAGGGCGGTTGCAAACAACTTGGGCCACATTTAACTAACTTCAAATCTCGGCAATTAACTGAAAGTCACCAACTAGGGAGCTAGAGACTTGGCAAATGTAATCAGGCCCAACATTATAATTAACCGCAAAATGCAGTTGCGGGCTTTGCCGCCGCCCCCGCCTTACAACCTAACAACTCCATCCCGCTGGTCCTCTATTAAAACTTTTACGACAAGTAGGCGAAAAAAAAATTACTTAATTAAAATGATTGACTAAACAGAAAAGTTTGTGCGAAATCATTTTTGCTTTTTTTCCGCCCCGTAACTAGCTGGGCATACTTTTCCGGAACAATAGTTTCTTCCGGTTGTGGTGTGCTCTATATATACTATATATATCGCTCTCTCTCCCTCGCTCAGTAGCCCTTGCTCTTTTGCGCTTATTTATTGTTTGCCTTTTGCCGGAGGCTGTGAAATTTTTCTGTAGGAAATGCTCGGAGTGGAGGAGGGCTCTCCGCAGAAACCTTAGAGATGCGACAGCAGCTTGTTGTTCATCTAACAAATTAACGAACGCCTCGAGTGTTGTTGCGTGCTAGCCCCGTCTCTTTCGCTTTGCGGTTCTCCGTCTCTTTTCTTTCCTTTTCGACTGAGCCAGCAAACTTTGAAGTGTTAATGAATTGAGCGGGATGGCGAGATGGGCGGATAAAAAAGGGGGGCATGATGGCCAGTGTAATGACCGTTGGCCGCTTTTGTGGTCAATTTTCTGGTAATTGAAATTATGATTTAATTTAATTTGCCGCAAAAGTGTTGACAGTTAGATAAGGATCATAAGAAAAAGTTCTGGAGTATAGCGAGAAAAACGCAACTTAAAAGGAGGAGAATGTCCTAGGAAGGATTTCTTTAATTCAGTTTGAGGTTAAAGTTTAACCGGAGAATGCATCAAATTTATTGATAACTGAAAGCTATTACTAAAACATTACGTTATCTACTGTTGCTAGAATTTTCACAAAAAAAGTAAAAAGTAAAAGTAAGAAAGCATGATGGGAACCTAAGAAAATGAAAAGATTTAAAATTGTCCTGCCCCTGGGCAGAGCTTAATTTATGTAAACCACCTTAAAATGTCATTTAAAAGTAATTTACGAGGTTTTTTTTTAAAATAAGATGGCTTTAAGTAACATAAGCAGATTAAAAAAGAATGTTTTTTCGTTTACATGCGTAAGCTTTTTTGCTTAAATACAAAACTTGAAACTCTTTAAACATGTAATTAAATATATTAAATCAAAATCGCTTTTGGCATCGATAAATGCAAATTATATTCGAGGTGGCAAGCGTGCATACAGATGATTCGAGGACAGCCTGCATAATTCAAATGAGATTATGCAACGTGGCATTTAATAATTCACAAGTGAGAGATGTCTTTTAGGCGTCATTACAAATCGTTACAACACTAATAATCCGTCCAAATGACTCATTAACAATTAATTAGAGCGCCTTATAGAGGTTCTCAATTTGTGTCTGCAAACACACACACATGGACAGAAAGACAGACGTGCATAAACAAACACACACCCATATACATAATGAATGTCCTGGAAAATGGAGGTCCTACTTTACTGCACTTTCAAAACATCCTTCATGTGTTTGTGTCTATGCGAGTGTTTGTGTGGTGGCCACAAAACCAATTACATACTCGATTCGAAAGCGTTTTCGCTTTGGGCCCAAATCGCTGCAATGGGTTCGGTTACTGGGGAAGGCGGCGTGGCGGGGCCAACACTTAACCCTGAGGAAACGACGCATCTGTTTAATGGAGCAGGCAAGGGCAAAGAGGGAGGCGAGGTGGCAAATCTCCAAGTGCATGTGTGTGATAGTGGGTAAGGACTCGGTCCCCGATGGCACATAAAAAGCATTTAATTTAAGCGCTGTTCTAATGCCTTTGATGGTAATAGGAAGATAATGCTCAGAAACTGCTATTAGGTCTTTCAGTTTGGGCTTTTAAGTCGTCCAATTATAAACTTCAAGCACCTACTAAACCAAAGATTGATTTTAGTTGCTATAAATAAGTTTAGTTACTCACAAAATAGGATCACCACTCACCTGATAGTTAAGATAATGACGTTGTCACTGGCAAGAACAGCTCCCAATTATAGTTTAGCGCTGTCTTTTACTACAGCATCCACGACGCACTCCAAATACATTTTTAATGTCACTTTCCAAAGCACTCAGGAACTTGTGTTAACTACTGATTTTTCACTCGCTTTAACGCCTCAGCCAACCCATTATGCGATCTGCACCTGCTCACTGCTGCTCCGGCAACGGAAAATGAGTTGCCAAAAAATTTTAATTAGAAAATTCGCACATATGCACCTAATGTGCCCGTTAACGATGGCCCCGCACGGAAGTGACGCGGAGAAAGGCGGACAGAGAAAGCAGGAAGGGGCAAGGCGAGAGCAGGAAATCGCCATTTCCGATTAGGCTCCTGCCCAGAACCAACGTGCGATTGTTGCCCGGCAACTGCTCCACCTGGGCCATCGACAAAAGCCATTCACAATTGTCGCCGCTTTTTGAATTGGAGCTGTGTGAGTGTCTCTTTATACATACAGTTGTGTTCGAAATACTAGGGGCGTATCCTATTTTATTCTACATGCTTATGCGTTTCATGTTTATACCTTTACTTACCTTTAATCTTTACTAACCTTTACCTTAGGTTTAGCTTTTCAGCAATTGGTGTTTATAAAACACTGCTATTGCTTTGAACATAGCTGTTAGGAAGTGTAACAGAACACTGGGATACACACATACGTGAGTGCACGTGTCCGTCGCAGCCAATTAAAATGTTCATTTTGGCGGATTTTCTTTGTTTTGAGCCACTCGTGAGGGCGCCATTTCAGGCAGGCTTGTTTGCCTCTGCCAATTGATGGCTCATAATTGCTCATTAACCCGACAAAGGGGATGCGAGAACAATTGCAATTTAATTACCGAGCATTTGGATTCAAACCAAAAAAGTTAATAAACGAAGCTCAATATCATTGGCCCTAGAATCTTGGCATACTTTTGTGGGCCAGATTTCGGTTTTCTTTAAGTGCAGTTTCTTCTCAATCTAGAACCTTTGACTCGTTCTGGGCCAATTGAGCTGACAACGAAAACACTTTGCCGGCTATTTAAGCCGACAGACAGACGAACAAAACAAAACTTTAATTTACTTGCGGTTGGTCTTTCCCCCTTTCCCCCTTCTACTCTTCCCCCTTCATCGGCCTAAGTCCTTTTCACTTCTGACTGGCCAGCACATAAAACATAATAAAAGCAAATACAGCAAAAGCAGGAGGGCAGAGATAAAAAAAAATTAATTTTCCGCAAACTAAAACCTTAGAAAATTTATGCTCTGCCTGCATAAACAAAGGCACATAACGAAAAGCAAAGGGCAAAACACAAAAAAAAAAAAAAGAAAAACGAAAAACAAGCAACAATTCAATTCATTGGCTGCACAAGATGCAGACATGGTCGTGGTCAAAACGCACTGCTGGCTGACCGGAGGACAAACTTTTTGCCTGGCAGGGATAAAAGAAATAAAAAAAGGGGAGAAACTCAGCAGAACAAGGAAGCGTCCTGGTGGCCAAGAGCAATTCCTGCGTTCTGAAGACGACGTTGCAGCTAACCGCAGGCATTCAATTCAGCTAGAAAATACAACTTTGCTCCTGGTCCTGCTTCTGCTGCTACTGCTGCTGCGTTTTTATTAGCTCAGACACAATGCAAAAAGCCTCTGACTGCCAGGACCTGCGTATAAATAATGAATACAGAGCAACAGCAACAACTCGGCTGGCAACATCCTTACGCAGCATTAACAGCCAAAGAAAAATACTGGGAAAGTAATTCTTTCAGCAGGAAAAAAAGAAACACACAAAGCAGGAAAGAGGAATGACTTTTTCTGGGGTCGAATCTGTTAGCATCCAGACCAAGGGTTCTAAAAATATATATTAGTTTTATTAGAAACTTTAAAAAAAAATTCAGCTAGCCCATCATTCTCGTCTTGCAACATAAATAGCTTCATTCCGAGAGTTAGGAGCACTCTTAACCCACCACCAAAGAGGCTTCCT